GCGGCCCGGGCTGGAGTGCTTGGGGTTGGGGGGCTCAGCTGCCTGCCGGAGTCACCTCCGCCGCCGCCCCGGAGGGAAGGCGACGGGCGTGCGAGACGTGAGCCCACTGCGGTGTCCGTTGGGCGTGCTCGGACCGACGAACCCGGGGCGCTCTGGCGAGCTCCGGTCCAGTTGCTCAGGTCGGGGCCCGGGCTACCGCTCCGTGAGGGGCCGCGTTTGCCGGAGCTAGTCGCCGCACTGCCTTCCCGGGTGGCCCCGGGTCCCAAGGGCGGCGAGCTAGCCGTGCACCTTGATCCAGCGCCCCTCCTAGGCGCATCTGGCCAGACCGGGACCCACCTGGGCGCTGCGGTCTGCGCCGGGCTTAGAAAAATTGCCATGTGGGCATTTAGGCTTTGTGAGTGTAGTTAGACTCCGCTCGACTTACTTAGTAATTTACGCTGGAGCACAAATTGGTGTAAGACTGTAATTACTTCGGTCGGAAACACGGGCTTGGCCCGGGCTAGGCTTCGTCGGAGCCGGCCCGTGCGCCTTGGCGAACAAGATCCGGTTTGTCTGTGAGTTGGGCGGGGGGCTCCGGGGTCATGATTGACCCAGAGCGTCCTGGCCTCACTCTCCGTTTAGCTGACTTAATTTCGAGGCGGAACCTCTGGGGAGAGGCCTTGCATTGATTCGCTCTGTGGCCATGCCATAGAGACCGCCAGCACCCCACTTTCTCCGTCCAAAATCCAGGACAGGACAGAACCTGCCCGACTCCCTTAACAGGGGTGTTTAAGTTAAAGAAAGGACTCAAAGCCGCCCCAGTTAAATTTGGTAGGTCGATTATGCTTTGTGCATAACTTGAAGGGGTGAATGGGGTGGGAAAAAGATTCTTGGAAACCAAAAATTTTTTTTCTTCACCGTTTGTGAATGAATTTTAACAGTTTATATGTAAGCTCCTGTGTAGCATATTTTTCTTATCCTTTAATGAGGTTCACATTGCACATAGAAATGCTGTTTTTGTGTTTTACTTGGAGGTTTCCCTTATACATTCATCCCAGTATATGCAGAGATTCAGAAAAGCAGCTCTTTAAACTCGATGCACCCTTTGCTGCCTCAGAGATCTGGTTTTGAATGCTCTACTTACTGAGTGATGGGGCCCTTAAACTCCAGCTTTTCTGGAGAATGGGGAGATGCTTGTGTCTAGGTGACAGTGTGTGTTGCCACAGCAACA